TTCAATTTTTACTCAAAGGTATACACTTTTAGATATATTTTTCTGCGTGAAATCAATATATAAATGCATACCTTATTTTCATTAGCTTCAAGTTTCACAATTTTTTTGGTATTTTGCTTCAAGTTTCACAACAGTTTTTTGAAGTTGTTCAAAATTTTCATTCTATGAAATATTTTCATTTGCTTTATATGTATTATATTATATGGTTATTGCATATGAGTCAGGTGTTGTGAAAAATCACTCTACGGATAAAGTAAAACTTGAGAAGACGCATAGAATATGTGGTTTTCACTTCTTGCTATGTCCACGTGAACATACATATAAATTGTTTGGTGCAACGAACACACTTGCCTTGTTAAGTAGTTTAACAGAGGCACATACAGTTTGGCTCAAATCCTAAACCGATTATCATGGTACATTGAATGCCACATACCATGTGTCGGTGACGCATCGTCCCGATTTGACTTACTCCTAATAATCTCTCATTTAACACATCCCTGGAGAACAACAACCTCCCTAGCCTATATGACTATTCTCTAAGAACTTCTAGAAGAAAATCTAACAAAGGCACTTTTTAAACTAGAACTAACTATACTTTTGGCTAGATCAATTCCAATTGTATGCCAATCCATGTTGACGGCAAACATACATCGTTCTTGTGTCACCATCAATGTCATCAAGGACTTTCATCGTCATTGTCATCTATAGTTTTGCATTTGCGCTTTCGACAAGGATGTCCGGACTTTTTGTGCTTCATTTCTTAGAACGCACTTTCTGATTGGTAACGGCGGAGCAAGCTTCCTTGGAACCTTTGATTTGACATTAGCATGAAGTCATATTGTAGGGGTCGGACATAAGACTGAGAAAGTAGAACCAGATGTAAATTTGAGGAGCACTTTGTGTCGACGTAGAGTCACAAATTATTGGAAGAGAATAGTGATAGAATAGGATTTGCAAGATTTTTACAAGTCGAGTACGTCTTTGTATGTCTGTCGTAATCGATGGTTTCATGTGTATTGGAAAATTATTTCATTAGAGGAGGAAATTATAATTATGAAAGAGTATATACATTCACTACGTATATACTTATAAAAAAATTTTGAAACTGTGAGTTTCTTGAGTATGTACATAGTGATTTTCAACATCAAAAACTTGCCTATGATGTTTGTCCATTATACAATATTCACAAACTTTTAACTCAATTTTATCAATGCTTGATAACAATTTTAATTCATCTAGAGAAAACAAATACCTATTACTCATTTGCCTTGACCTAGAATGCCACACATAATACATCTTAACTTGAGATGTAGTAAAATTAACTTTCTCATCAAATCAACTTTTTTCTAGAACAGATAGTCATCACCACGTTCATCGTATTTGATTATGTTATATACTCTCCTTTGAACTTAATTGTCAACATCTCATTACAATTAAGTATTGAAGTTGTAGCTAGTATTGTATGAATGAAAGCAATTATTTAAACTCATCTATAAAATTATGTCAGAGAAAAAAAAATTCAACGCTCTCCTTGTAATTTATGAATTTCAATCAAAAACTATTTTCAAAAAAAAAAAATCAATGTGAAATAATAAATTCAAATGATCATCAACGATGATGAATGATCAATGGTTTTTTGTTCAACAGTTCTCTACAAACTTTGAAGTCATGATTTGTTGCATGTAAACATCAATACAATACTAGTATAGAAATCACTAGAATAGATATCAATAAATTACTGATGGAAGAGATGTTTGCAGAGATATTAAGTATCAAAATCCAATGCTTCAAGTAAGTGAATTTGAAACATTCACGTATTTCCGTTGTAAAAGATCGGATTCTAACGATTTCAGCATGATGATGATGTATCATCAATTGTATCTTGCTTGACTTTACATTGGAAAATCTAAGCTGCAGCAATTTGTATGTCAATAATTTTCTTTGTTGAATTTAATGTTTTGAAGTCAAATCACTTGATGCATCGGCGCTTTGTATTCAATTATATGTGAAAGTGTGACACAAAATTGATGAAACATCTCTTATACGCATATTGATATAAGCAAACTTTTTTCCAATTGCACTATCATTTCTTCTGTAATCTTATTATATTTGAAAATTTGAGTGTACACTTGAAACGTCCGAGAGCATCATGGAAATTTTCTCTGCATTAATATCATAGTAAGCACAAGTCGGTAATTTTTGTCTCTACAATTGAAGCAGTCCAAGAGTCTCATGTAAATTTATTTTGTGTTGATATTATAATTTTGTAGCAAGCACAAATCGATAATCTTCATTTGTGCAATTGGAAAAGTCGGAGAAGTTCATGTAATCTGCTCTGCGTATGATATTGTAATAATGTAACAAGCACAAGTCGTTATTCTTTGTCTACGCAATTGGAGTAGTCCGAGAATCTCATGTAATTTGTTTTGCATATGATATTGTAATAACATAGCAAGCACAAGTATGTAATCTTCTTCTGTGCAATTGGAGCAGATCAAGTGAGTTGAGATAGAGAATGTATTTTTTGGATGAAGCATGTGTGGTGTTTAGATTAAAAATATTCTCACATGCTTGTAAATGATAATGTCATGCAATGTATTTGTTAGAATTATCAAAATCTAAAAAAGGAGTAGCAATTTACTAACGCAATTTGGAGAATCCATGAGATGCACGGTAAAACATCTGAACCTTGAAAGTAAGTCATGCATGCGTCATATGCCTTAGCCTCAAATCAATTTGGCGCTAAATGTGAAAGCAACATCGTATCTTCCTTTCTTCCTCCTTTTGCAATGAATCCATGTTCATTCTATTTAGTATGAGATTTCTTTTATTTAGTCAAAACATGATACAACAAATAATACTCTCTTTGCGCTACAATGATTGCCAATGTCAATTTTTGAATCACACTTATTAGATTTTGATGTAAATAACCTCATGATTTACTTGTCTCTTCTCTTTATTAGTGCAACAACTCAATCTCTTAGTTCCTCAAATGCAGATGGAAATGATGTGGATCATTAAACACCACTTTTATTCGCATTTCAAGATAGAAAAATCAGCCTCGATTGGTAAAGGTAAGACCAGATGATTACAGAGTATTCACAACGAAGATCAAAACTCAAAAAGATCAAAGATCAAAACTAAAATTTTAATGAATTTGCGCATGAGCTATTCAATAGGTAGGTCATGCAGATTGCGTCTGGAGGAAGTTTCTACTCTATATACATCCGACGACATGGACGGGTTCTCTTCATCGCATGGACAGAACCCGTCCGTAATCCGTGTTCAATCGTCTCACAATGATCAAATCTTTATCACTCAAATAGGATCCGCTTCCCCGAATTCACTCACAACTTCACCTAACTCGTTTGCAGCTGAATCTGCCTTGCTTTCCCGAACTCATTCACAATTTCACCTGACACGCTTGCAGCTGAATCTGCCCTGACCTGCATGTTGCTTCCTTGCAATCTCTATCAACGGACCAGGAACTTTTCTTGATTTTGATCGATAATAAGAATCTCAAACCCAACGAACCACGGAAGAAAGCTTAGTTGCTCGGACGCAACGGATATCAAAAGTGAAAATCTACGGAGCACAACAAAAGCGATACTCCAACAAAATCACTAAGCCCGTGCATTCGCACCAATAAGTCTTTACGGATCCAATCCAATTCGCAACACTCTAATATCAAGTGTTGTGAAAATTCATCAAACATATAAATCTAGGCGACACTATAATAATAATTGTTGTGAAAATTCACTTGTTGAGAAGAATCACAAGACATTTGATTTGACCTTCTAGCTACTTCTAGGGAAAACACATATATAAAAGATTAATGCGATAAGAAAACGATATGTGGTTTGTCATTCTAGATACTATCACGTAAAAAAGCTAAGTGCACACAATATAAGTGTAAATCACATACAGGTTGCTGATACCCAAAACCGACTGTAAAGAAAATCACAAACAGTTAGGCTCAAATACAATTAACCCAAAGTCACTTAGTCTTACTCCTAATATCATGTAAATGAGTTTTGTATTTTTATGTATACCATACTTGAATGGCATATGGATCTATCTTGTTTAGTTTGTCGGTAACTCGGTTAGAAAACTTTAAACAATCTTTTGACCTTCACATCAAGTATTATTTCTCTCTATCCCTTATCATAATGTGCAATGTTCTTAGTACATGTCTCTTTTTGCAACCTAATTCACCTTTCTCTTCATGATCATTTTCTCCCATACTATTGTATGGATCTATCTTTTGCAAACTTTCTAATACATCTTGCGAATCTCTCTCTGTTGCATTGCTTCATTCAGCTCACTGCAAGTCACCTTGTTCATTTGCAAACTTTCTAATACATCTTGCGAATCTCTCTCTGTTGCATTGCTTCATTCAGCTCACTGCAAGTCACCTTGTTCATGTCTACTTCCAATATTTCGATCAAAATAGTATGATTTAACCTCTGATATAAACTTCTAAATACATCAGCATAAGACTTTCTCTTGTGTTTTTAATTGATAACGGAAGATCATGTTTGGTAGTATAGATCATTTTGGGGATTTTTTTAAATAAAAGAAGAGTGAGATTCAGGACAGACCAACTGCAAAGAAGTCTTGTGAAATACTGCTATAGGAATAGGTTTTTAGGCTTGTCGATGGGAGTAGTAATAGAATTTGGCTTGAGAGAAGACATCATGACCAGTAATAGGATTACGATTGGGATGACAGTGTGGACGTGAGGACAATCGCCTGATATCTCAAAACTGTCGAATTACATACAATTGATGACTTTCAAACACTTGAAAAATATATGTGGGAACAGAATGACTGGTAAAACTTCCATCGGATTCACCACTCTGTTACTAAAGCAGGCAACGCAAGACATGCTTCTTGAAATCAACAACTACCGACCGGTCATTCTTTGCCATCTCAATAACCTAAAATGACGATCCACAGGCTCAAAACTCAGCAATTGTAAGCTTTTTTCGGGAAAAAAATCTCCGTCATGTTTTCCTTTTCAAAAGGTAATAGTGCATAATACAATAATGAAGCTCCCTCCTTTCGATCTTTTCGTGGTGGTGGATGATAGTTCACACAATGAAAGTAGATAATAATGGATACTAGTTCATGCAAAATGTCAAGCACAACAAAAGCGCAGAGGGAATTGTTCTCCAGTGGAACACACATGCCATGAGATTTCCCGCTATTAACAGACTGGCCCTGAACATATTCGTGTTGATGGGCATTTTTATCGTCTCGGAATCGACATAAGGCGACTTTGCTTATCCAGATCACAGGACGTTCTGCGGCAAGCAAAATCGAGATCATGATGAAGCTCCTACGCCGATGTTTGTCGATATCAGTTTGATCCACTGGAACTCCGTGTTATATGTATGTTTGTGATACAAAGTCTCACATATGGCATTCGAGATGGCCCGTTGTTGATGTAACTGTAATTGGTGTCAATTTCATGTTTAACCGCCGCTCTCGTCTTAAACATTTCCAGGGCAAAGTGACGAAAAAGTATGAAGCTGTAGAGGATGAAGTCGAGATTTGAAATCCTGCAATTCTTACGTTTGAACGCATGTTTGCCATTGAGATCCCATTTCCTATGTGCCTTCTAGTCGATACTCGATTCCATTTAAATCAGCACTCACTCGGGTAATAACATAACCTGTAATTCCCCTCCCAAGAGTTATAAAGAACCAAACTGAATACAGATACTCGCATTCTTATCTTAGAAGGAAGTTTCTTCTACTTCGTTCATTAGTTTCTACTACAGCGAACATATGAATAGATTTCGCAAATACACTTATGAACCATCGCTGAAAGCTCAAAATCTGCACATAGTTCGCGGTTTGCTACACAGCAGTAAACAGTATTGGAATCAAAATGCACGACTATGGTAGAGGTTTCCCAGTACACATGTTTCATCTTTCTGGCAATAGCTCATTCCATTACTATAGATTATCCACAGAACTCTCGAGTTTCCTCATGATTCCAAATTTGCAATAATCGGAGAAAATAAAGCGGGTTCTCTGATTTGTAAGAACAAGTCTTTTACAGAGAAAGTGCTACCACGATCAACGCTGAAGAATATGTTTGATCAAAGCGGCACATGGAGGTGAAGTTATTCAGAGAAATGTCTCACCTGAGTTAAAACGCTTGATAGTTCGATCTGCTGGGTCTATATACATGAACTAAAACAATCCTGTGACCTTGGAAATGTTCAGTCTCGCTGTCTGTAGGAACTGCGGCACCCTTATCTGTGAACATACAGGTACGCGTCAAGCACAAGCAGAAATCATACTGGAAAATGAACAGTGCACGAGCCCGAGTCAAGAGCAAGAGAGGGAAAGAGAAGACTCTGCCAGGACAAAAGGTGCGACACTGGTACCTGAAATATGATAATTTCAAAAGTCAGCTCACCTTCAATTGTAGCAGACTTGATGTAGGAACTTTCGTACATGAGTCCCAGAGGGAATAATCCAATGTAATTTGGACAGAATAATCGACGAATAAAAGAATTTTGAGTCACGCTCTCCTCGGATGAGCAGTGCTGTACTTGGACTGTGAAGGATCGTTGAGTTTGAAAACGCCTCGACAGCTATGCCCTTACAAACTAATCTAAATATTTTCCAGCGGGCTGACAAACGGCATTGCGTGTTTTATATTCACAGTATTTTACAGCGGACGTAGTGTGTGTCGGTGGTAAGTAGTAAGTACTGGCTGATTCCACAGGGTAATGACGATGGGCAGGGTGTCGAAGTTGGGGAAAAATTACTTACAGATATACAAGATATTACATGTTCACTAGTTCTAATAATCCAGTCTAGGTAGGATGTAAAGGTCCTGATGCGTGCTGAAATATACGGAGACGGGAAATTGTCATAGAGGTCGAATTATGCACAGGTTGTAAGGGTCTATGTAGAAGTAAAGAATGACGGGCTCAATGAGACCTGCTTCGGCAAGACGTTTACAAAGCTTTAAGTAAGATCCTACGAGCTCTGCCTTCTGCAGGGCCCGCAGTACGGCTAGCATCACATTAGGGTCTGGATGAATGTTTTTCTCCAACATGAGATGCATGGTTTCTGCTGCACTGTCACAGTGCCCACCCTTTATATATCCACCCATCAGAACCGAGTAGGTTTTCTTCACAGGCAACTTCCCTGAAACTTCCATTCGGTTCAGAATACGCACCACGGCCTCCGTCTGATTCCTGTAGCCGCAAATGCCCAGAATGGTATTATACATTTCCATGGGGGGCTCCTTACCTGCGAGCTTCATACCCCATAGAGCTTTTTCTGCTTCCAAAGCTTTCCCCGCTATGCAGTACATAGCTAGTAATCTCTCATGGACTGAGGGAAGAGCTTCCGGAACCTCTTCATCCACCGCCCATTGGGCCATCTGCTCTGCCTCACCATGTAAGTTATTTTCGTAAATTTCAAGTTGTTCCCAATCCTTGTGATCCAGCTTAAGTATAGCTCCCCTCCGCTCATAATCCCTTATTTGTCTTTGAGTGGTGGTCAGCTGCATAAGTGTCATAATAACCATGCCAGAGAAACTGAATCTGGTCAAAGACCGTCTCAAGGTGAACTTTCAGAAAAGAGGCAATTGTTTGAGATTTTGACAAAATTCAGCAGTGACTTACTGAGGAAACACACGTTGAGCAGTCGTAAATAAGCGAGAAAAGATGTGTTTTCCAACGTACCTGTTCCTGCTCCACAACTGCGGCAACTAAACCAGAAGTGTATGCAGAAACTTTGAGCTTGAAACCACAGCATCTTAAGTGTCGAATCAGCTCCAGAGCCTCTCTTTGCTCCCCTGCCTTGACCATCTTCAGAATCAAAAATACCACGGGATCTTCACCTTCTGTCTCCACCTCACTATCCAGCATCTCCTTTACGAAACATAATGCTTCGGCCTTCATTCCCTTTTCCCAGTACGTAGCTATGATAGATTGCATGATATGAAACTCTGGTTTTAACCCAACGCAATGCATGTCTTGTAGCAGGCTTTTCACATCCTCTACAGGTTGCTCTTTCTCCACTAACTTCATGATCCAATCGAACATAATCCGCATCATCAGTTTGTGCGTGTCGTCTCCAACACGATTCACACGCTGCATCCACTCAAACACTTCTAGAGCACACCATGAATCCCTACCCTCTTGGGCGAAGTAAGCCAACACAAGCTCCAAATCTCTCGTCGAAAGTCTTTCCTGTAACCCTTCCAGGACCTCGGCGGGCTCCCGTACCATGTACTCCAACTCGAAAATCGCTTCTTTAAGAGCCTCCTTATGTGATTGATGCTGTCCTTGATCGTTATCCCTAGATACATGGTAATCCTCTTTAGAAACCTGACTACGAAGCTTCCACTCCGACCTCAATCTATGAACATGAAGCTTGACCCCAGTAAGTAATCTTTCTTGCGAGAATTTGAACAAGCCACTGTATCCATCTTCCCGCACTTCATCTCCTTCAAATTTCCTAGCTAGACCAAAGCTTCTCTTTCCCAGCGTAGAGGCAACGCTGGCATTTGTAGAGCATGGCCTCAGTACCTGTCTCGAGTCAATTATTCCCAAACAAGCCCTCGTCTCTGACAATGCGCCGACATTCGACGACTTCTTTGCACCATTCTGAGACGGCAGAGACAGTTCTACGCTAGTGAAGAAGGAAGAAGAGCACAGCGCCATCGGGGATCAATCCTATGTGAAGTTGCAGAGTGCCTGTGGGTTATACTGATTATGATCGGAAGTCGTTCCTCTGCATCAACTACAAGAAACTACAGCCTTTTCATCGGGTGCTTGATCGTCAATTCCGAGTCACGCATACTAAACCTAAGAGACCACTGTCTTCATGAACCTAGACTTTCTTCCACATGCAGATCTATGAAGTCCAATTCGGATATGTCCATACGACAGGTTCTCTATCTCTCTCTACGAAGCCAACTGTCTCAACGATATTGACTTTCAAATTCCCCGTACAGAACTCGTCCTCAGCGGCTGATTCTCCTGCCAGCCTCCGGGTGCACTAAAACGATCTTCAGTATCTACCATGTAACAAATCATACCACCCTTTACCCTCTCAATTGCGAACAAGAATTGCCGACCGATCCATCTAGATCCTTACTCAATCGATCCAGAGAAGACTGATCGATCAGCCTGCGTAATCACCGACTTCGTCCTCATGTGTCTCCTTCTTCCTTCCCTCTCGGTCAGTGTCATAACGCTCTTCCGTGTAGAAGAAAAGACTGATAAATATCGCATTAAAGAACACAATTCTTTCGGACTCGTGAGATTCAGATGATTTCTGAGGCACCCATCGCCTTCCTCTGATTCCTCGCTTGTCCGTCTAGCTACTGTTGGTCAACCCGATTCATAGATTAGTGTTCAGTTCGTTCCTTGTTTCGTCGCTTGTTCCGTCTGACCCGCGGAAGCTGCATCAAATCCGGCCGTCCGACTGCGGCCACATTCGTCTCGAATTGACGGTGACAGCAACCTTTTCTTCTCCGTTTGGACAGTTTTACTGCTCGTACTCTGGTAAAAGATCAAAACATCCCTCTTACCCCTGATTTTGACACGGGCTTCCTCACTTCGCACCTCACGTGTGGTAGGCTGGAATGAGTGTAAGGGTATGGTGCAGATTGGAACGAGGCCTTCTAGCTGAGCACTTAAGGCGCTTTCTACGCGTCCATCGCGTTTGTACTCTATAGGGCAACTCCAAGACGCTGGCTACCTTAGCACCGCAAGCTGCAACAAGAGTGCAAGGCCAAGTGTGTGACTCAGTATTCCCAGCACGCTCTACTTTCAGAGGGTCAAAATCACCGACTCACGGTGTCCACACGCGTGATATATCTCTGTCGTATCGTGACAGTTAGACACGCTATAATCTGGCAACTGTAGCCAATTCCCATTGATTGTAATATGCTTTTTATAATTACCTTAAACCTAAACATTATTTCATAAATAATTATTATTATTATGCATAGAATAATCTGTGACTTGTTAAGATCCATACACTCACTAGTTGATACAAGCCATGAGGTAATAATCATGTGAAGTAATGTTTACTCACATATGCATGTATAAAATTATACAAATTCTTTGAATACATAATTTAGATTTTGGTCCAAGCAAGTTATTGGTTCATACTTTTTGGATTCTTTCTATTTTTTTGCTATTTAACTCTTGTTTAGAACTCTTTTTTTCAAAGAGCTCTTTTTGGATTGAAATTTAACTCGCGTTTTACGAATACTTTAGACTTTAATCAACTTCTATGTGTTAAAAAGCTTCATGACACCACGGCATTATGTTGATATTATTATCATGTCATGATATCTTAAATACCATGACATGCTTAAAAAAACAGATAAATCTGAGCCCATTTCAAACACACTTGTGACCTCAATGACTTTTAACTTGTAACTAAGTAGCTTAATAATATATAATGCTATGATGATTTCGTTACTTTGTTATTTTTGTTTCAAGTTACTCACTTTATATTTCATCTTCACGAGCTTTGAAAAAAAGATTTATTTTAAATTTTATAAATATATCTTTATCTAAATTATGAGTTTCAAAATTTTTCATCAAATTATTATGAATTGTAAGCCCACAGATCTAAAGTAAGATGAGTATCAATGGTATCCATGACAAAGGTATATATTTTCCACTTTATTAGTTAATAGATTAGTTAAGAGCTAGCTATCCTATCGCTGATTCGAAAAAATAGTGAAATTACACCAAACATTATCATTCAAAATATAAATTGTTACAATCCAAGCGCTGAACTTTTTATTTTTACCGCATAAAGCATTTGGTCTTTTCATAGGTAAGCTTTTGTTCCTATGATATATGCAATCTGAAAAAACCATTTCTTTGACATTTCCCAGACGTGTCTAAACATAATTTATAGTAATTATATGTTCTAGAATGATATTTTATATCAACCTGTGTTCATAATTGAGTCAGCCTGCTTCAACGTCATCCAAGATCTTCTCAATACATGTTCGCTCAAATATCACTCTTTACATCCAAATCCTCCACCATAATGCCGAACTGTGAACAGCCTACTAGCATAAAATGTAAAGATTAGTAGGAGTCAAAACTTTCTGAAGAACTCAGGCAAATTCGGGATTTCACAGTAACTGTGTCGTTTATCAGACTAGTTGGACAATGTACACGTTCCACTTAAAGCCCTGAGCTCGCGCGAAGCATCAAGAATTGCAATTATAAGGGCTGGGAAATTCAACGCGACAAAAACATGTTTCACGTAATAATTGAATGAACCTTTTTCGGAGACACGACTGCACATATCCTCTGTTGTCAGAGCTGCTTGGGAACGTCGAACATACTCCACCAAACCATGGGAAAGGACATCCGCATGTCCCCGCTGACATCATCCCTTATACAGTCCAATCGGTTTCAATTACCATACACCTCTCGCAACTTAGAAGCAAGTCTTTAGAGTGGACACACTTCACTATGATTTGGAAATTAGCTTAGATATTTACCGAACGGGAGGTGAAAGTCGAGTCATACGGTACAATACAATCATTTGGACTGTGTGATGTATAGAGGCTGCGGAAGTTCAGAATAACCCCACAAAAGACGAAGTCTGTGGAAATGTGCAGGGCAGAAAAGTCACACAAATACGCATACACGACTGCGGCTCCAGGTGGTAACATTTTATCCTTCTTCTGGTGTCCCGTTGAGAGAAAATGAGAAGCAATAACATCTCAACGTAACAGCTTGTTTTCAGCTTTCTTGTTCTTCAACTTAAAAGTACATCAGAATATCTTAGGACCAAATTTCCGGAACATAGCAGAAATCTACCAATGCATACTTTCGTCGACATTTCAAGAATATCAGAGAAAGTCAACGGAATCTAGCCCAGAGAGCCCCTCCGAACACTTCGAGAAAATGTACTTCCTGAAAACTTTTCCCCGTACGCTTGGGAAAGAAGTAATTGAGTAATCAGACATTCCGATTTTCACTCACCCGGTACTCAACAATCACCTTCCACGACCAGAATGTTAAGGACACTCACAGCAAATATCCGGGGAAAAAAATATTTGTGGTCTTGCACATCACATGCAAATTGCATCTCAAATCCACAACAATCTTGTGGACTTGGGCACAGATCACAGAAATACAACGTGGTCCACGGTACACTGATAGCTGCAGAAACTGTTCTTGGACACCAATGAATTCCCAATATCCATGTTGCTGTCCGTTATAGAAATTTACAACAGCTGCTCAGATCAATCCTAGGGTCAATACTATCCGTCCCACCAGGCTACGAAATCTCCGACAGAAAGCTCGACGTCTCCGTGCAACAGAGCCACTTGTGCAAAACTAAGCTGTACAGTCGACAAGTACGTTCTGCAATATTGGCAGCGTCCCGTGAAAGAGAGAAAACACTGAGGAAACAGAAGGCGATGGGGAAGAACTCATCACCTCTCCAAAGGAGCGAAGCTCGGGAAGAATCCCAGCACAAAAGGGTATATGCCATAATCCAGTGAAATAAATTCGCTATTTACAATCGATTCCAATCTTCTCCCTTCCTATAGTCTAGATGAGTTCCAGCTTGCATCGACAGCTTTCAAAAGCTTATCATGCAAAGTCTTTCCCGAGCAAGCTATTATCCCACGATCAAGATTCTCTAGGAACCGGCCTTGAGAGAAGTCCAAAGGCTTTCCGCCTGCATCTGTCACAACTCCGCCAGCTTCCTGCACGATTAATACTCCTGCAGCGTGGTCCCATATCTTCTCACGATACCCGGCTTTGGCAAACTTCATGAAAATCTCGGCATCACCCCTTGCGATTGCTGCGTACTTCGCCATGCTGTACACTCGTAAGGGCCGATTCCTGAAATTTAAAAAGGGAGATCACGCCTCAGATTTGTCATCAAGTCCGATGGAGCACAATTTGCAAATTCTTTACATAGTACCATTCAATTGCATATCCAACGAACAATTAAATTCTAAAGGCCAAGACGAATAAGTGAAGAGTCAACGCAAACTGCATTTGAGAAACTGTTCTAGCTCTGATAAGGTTTTCGAACAAGAGTCACGGCGTAGTACAAACGGAGAAAGTCGTCAACGGGAGTACTTGACAATTGAGCGAGATGGTTGTTTTCGCATCATCAAATGTTAATCAATGGGGTACAGCTGTGGGCCCAAATGATCTAGAAACGAGGCTCGAACCACTACCTGAGGCCAAGATGTTCCGCTAAGCCTGCGGTGAAAGAGTGACTTGAATTCGCTTTCTCGAAGGGCTCACAAAACGTCGCCTTCGCGGGGTCATCAATAGATGAAACGCTAACAGTTGTCGCCATCTGCCCGGTCGCATCCCACTGAGGCAAGCCATCTGAGTTCACTACTAGGGGTTGCATGAGAACCTCGCCCGCTCCCTTAGTTGCCGATAATATCAGCCCTTTGTGCCACTTGCTTGGGCTGGGTGGATGCAGCCGCGAGGCCATCCTGTAATATCGATGGTGGTGAACAAGCCACTGTTTCCTGAGAGGGAAATTTGGGCATCCGAGAACGGCAAGCACCACCTCACCATCTTCAATGAGAGCAAGAGCAACTGCGTACTGGTCCCCACGAACGAAACCTAGAGTTCCATCTACAGGGTCTAAGACCCAATAGCGCCCCTTAGGACCTCCTTCAGCACTGCCTTTGTTGATCGCTTTGAGGACGTCAATTGCCCCGAGTGGTCGTTCAGGAGGACTAACACCTACAATCCCAGCGTGCTGCAGACACTCATTCACGGCACCAACAACTCGCTGGAGAAGGTCGATCTTCTCCCTTCCTCGCAGTCCAGTGGTATCCTCCTCAGCAATCATGGGAATTTCCTTTCCTTGAAACGCCTGCGAGAGTACCCAGCTCACAACTGCCTGCACACCCCAGTCTGTGCATCCACGACTGCCGAATTTTAGAACATAGACCCGACGGTTTGCCTATCAAAGAATAGGAAGCTAATCACAGATAACTTCTCAATACACAAGCTTGACGTGCCAGCTACTATTTTTTTGAAAAACAAGAACCTCGAATAACTCTGTTTGTACTGATGTGTACACTAAACTCTTTTCACTGTTGCAAGTTGTTATGCTAGGGTATAATTGGGGCTAGGGACTCCATCCAGTATATTTGCGAAAAACCACACAGATATGAAGTTCGTCGTCCATGAGGAGGACATTATGGAGTATGCACTTCCTGGGAGATCAATCCATCCACACCAGATCAGGGGGTTTTCATCACGACGGTAATCTTACGACCAGAAATTACTTTTGATGTCTTCCAGGAGTGAGATGGCATGCAACCCCACAAGGAAATTTAAACAACTGGAGAGCAAATGAAACCCCAAACATATATTACCGACTGCTCGTTACTTTCTTAGATTCATACCTGCCACTGTCACAAGAGATCGATCCTTCTTGAAATCCGTATTCTCCTCGTTGTGAAGTACTCGCTGCTGTATTCGCTGTGATAGAATACAGGAAAGCTGGACAGCTTTGACAGCAACTTCCAATTCCATCTCGTACTTATGATTATCATGTCCTCCGGCAGAGATTGGAGTAAAGTCTCCCGCTGATAAGGCAGGAAATTTATGCGCGTTGTTTTGAGACTTCGCAGAGCTTGAATTCGTACTGTGCGTGTCCTTCCAAGCTGCTCCATTCGTAGTAGACGAAGCGTGAAAGTCAAGCTCAGGAGCTGCAGACCTGTAACTTTCTGATGCCAGATTCGAAGCATGTCCAATTGCGCTAATATTATCCTCCAGCCGGGATGTGCATTTGGTCGGTGACTGATCGACTCGGGCTAGAGATTCAGCTAAACCCCTGTTAGTCATTTCTCTCGAGGGATCCTCAGCAACTCTGTCATCCACCAACCTATCTGCATAGATTTCTTTCTCCAAGCTGCACTCTTGCGAAATTTGCTCATCCCCGCACATCCAAAGCAAATTCTCATGTTGACTGCTCCCACCTGCTTTAACATCGATATCCCAAGTACTACTAACAACCGCCAGTTCAGATGAATGGCAAGCTGGAGGGGAGAAGCCAAGGAGGGAAATCCTCGTGCACCCTGAAACGGGTTCCAGACCAGAATTGGCTGGCACTGAAGAAATCAACAGCCGAGGCAACGGATCTTCCCGCTGCCTGGGATAAGGAGCGAGTGACAGACGAGGACGGTATGGCAGTGATGAGGCAGAGATCGCCTGATAGACAATTGGGAATGCTTTCTCGTCAAAATTCTTCTTCTTCGAGGCAAATCGGGATAAATGCTCTTGCAAAGAAACAGAACCTCTCAGGGCTCCACAGACTGAAGAGGCGGCCATCCTGATTCCTTCCCTTTCGACTAAAACAGCGAGCTCGGTACTCGCACTTGTGATCATGGATTGCCGCTGAGGAAGCTGAAGCCGGTAACGGAATCGTTCATAGCAGAAGGACCCATGATCGCAGCTGTCAATAGTGGCAGCTATATATCAAATCATCTGCAAAGCCCTAGGCAGACAAGAAGAGAGGAAAGGTGAGGCTTGCAAACATGGGAATTCATGTCATTCGCGGCACCGGAAATTGAGTGGACGCGGAGAGAGCGATTGCCATGGGGCACTCAGGGCAGAAGCGCGCGCCACAGCCACGTAGCACTCGGATTTCCCTCGAAAGAAATAGCTACGGCAGCGAAATATTGTCTCCACCGGTTCGTTTCGTGACATTGCTCCTCGCGGCCTGTCGTTCAAGTTCCAACGGCACAACGTACTCCGCCACCGGTTTTACCTCGTTCGGAGTTGTTCCTTCTCCAGCCAGACCACCTCTCGCGCTCTTTTTCAAGCTCTCGTTTCTCGCCCTTCGTTGCTTTTCTCGATACCTCCCCAGATTCGAGAAATCATCTGCCGCCTGCTTCCTTTTCGCAGGATTGATTCGGTCTTGAACGGAAGGGAAGTGGCTGCGACTTTGGCTGACTGTTGTAATGACGTCGTAACGCTCAGCAATTTATATCCTCACCCGCACCTCGTGCACGGTCCCGATTTGCGCCCCCTAAATCCTAGGTGTGATTTGCACTTGACTGTACTGCCGGCAAAGCTTACTTCCTTCTTATCGCTAACGTGACCCAATTTGTGGTCAAACTCGCCACTCCATTCTAGCCTGGCTTGGCCTGTTCTGCCCTTTCGAGACTCATTCATACGTTATCTGTTTTGCTCTTGATGTGATGTGAAGCTGTCAACGTTTACCCCATTTTCGATGAGTGCGTAACTGTACCATAGTCCAGCATACGGCACTCCATAAAGTGCAGGAGGGAACAGCCTTAATCGAAATTACAGTGCTTCCCTAGTGCTATTTCCACTATAAGCCAGGTGTGAATTGTCCACTGTAGATATCGAACATTTGCAAATGAAGTAGTACACACTCGTGCTCGCTAGATGTATATCACGAACAATGATATGCAACGTCGTGCTAATTTTTGGACAGCATCGATCAATTGAACTTCCCTTGCTTAATGCTTAATGCTGTAGAAGCTGAGCGTATGGAAAAGGCTCTACGGAAGTGATTACTGTACAGTCGGTGCGAAAATTAAATTCATATGCATTCAAAGTTGCAGGTTTATATAGCGTATCATAATGTATGATATTACCTCCTTTAATTACGCTTACTTGTCGCATAAATAATAACTTTCAATTTCATTTTACCTTGCTTTCATATTAATAATAAACAAGGAAAGTGATCTCGTTGTACTTTTACCGTGCAATGCAGATACAAGACCACCAGCTGGATCTTTTCCATCCAATGTTCCTCGCTCGTATATTTATGTCTGAAATTCTCCCCAATGGAGAAGATTGGCAGTCAAAACAAGTTAGATATCAGTGCCTCTTAAGTACCTTGATTGGAGCAGGAAAAATAGGGTGGTTGAATCTACTCCCAAGTTATCATGCGTGGAGTACTGCCGCAACTGTTCCCTGAGAAAGAAATCCTCTACTAATCTAGAGAAATGATTTGAAGAAACATGTAATGATATACTGCACGTTGTACTCCTTGATTTACTCATTTTTGAATCTCCATGTTCATCTTCTTCACTGGTCAGCACATGGAAGGAGAGACTCTTTCAATGTATATAGATAGCTTTTTATAGAATGTGCGTATCTTGATTTCTCTAAAGGAAAAACCAAACAATATAACAATAAGTATTGATATAACTTATCAAGGATGATACTAAAGGTATTGATTGTGACTAAGATCCACATAAAAAGTCAAATACTTAATCTGGATTCTTATATATACTACTAATCTATTTAAAAGTATTCGTATTTAATGATCATCTGAATAATCATGAAAGTATACATAATTATGTCTTATGTAATTATTAGTATGAAGTTGACATGTGACATATTTCTCATTTGATATCATTGACATTCCTTTTGCTTAAGTAGAGACAGTATGTATTACAAGTTTTTATGGATTGATGGATCTACTTCTTTTAATTTATTTTTTTTCTAATTTCATTCAAAAATATATAATAAAATGTCCACAACTATGTCCATGATGTTAGAAGTTAAAATATTTTTTTGTCAAATTCAAATTAGCTTAAACCACTCTAGTGTGGCTCGTTAATATGTGATTATATAAAAGAGCTCATCAAAAATGTTAGCTTTCTAAATTAGAGCTTTTCTTAGTAAATTTGGGTATGTTTTCTTTAACATAGTCCGCAATGATAAATCGTGTATTTTCAATGTCGGCTATGATTTCGCATTCTCTCGTGTTGAAATCGTAGATTGGGCATTCAAGGTTTTTCCTTACAGTTAGTATTAGAGCACAATGAGTTCAATAATATTTTTCACATATATTTTATTGAAGTTCTTGTATGATCAACAAATCTAACAAAAGTTAAGCTTTATTGACAAAAGTTGACAACCATTTACATTTGTACAATAAATGCTTCTAGATGTTGCTTATCAGTTAAAACTTTGAGTTGTGTACCATTGGGGTTGCTGATGATGTGACATTTGAGAACAAAACATCAAGTTTTGTGCAAGATGCTTAAAAGATAAACTTTATGAGTCAAATTTTTAAACTCATGATCATAACATTGAATTGCTTGATTGTATTGGCACGAATAAGGTTATCTTGAAGTTCAAATTTTTGTGATGTACACATTCATCATCCCACTCACACAAGCTCAATATCCAAGTAACAGTTGATGAAATTTTACAATGTGAAAGTAAGTAGTAAGAAAAGATATGTCAAACCTGCATAGTCATTTCTATTGCATCAAAGTTTCGAATAATAGTGTTTAACAATCTCAAAACACAAGAATAAAAGCTTCAAAATATATTTAAAGTAGTCTTAACATTTGTAAATATAGCACACTTTGCATGTGTTTTGCTCATGATAAAGCCGGAACAAACTTTAATGGCATTTGAGACAAAAATCAAAATAACAAAGAGACACATTCTATATAAAAGCTAGAATCAAAACGTTATTGACAAGATTATACTATATTCATGAATATAATCAATATCAACTTAGTCAACAACAAAAATTTAACAGCTAGCCACATTTGATTAATTTTGCAGAAGAGCAAAGCATACATTAAGCAAATTTCTTGTACCTTCTGCCACTATAGTTGATGAATCATGCAAAATTTTGATTATTGAAGGTAATGTGAAAACTCGATTGATGAAGTCAAGAAGTTCAAAACGAATAATCTAAATTATATGTTCAAACTAATTTTTTAACAAATATTAACCGTGTATGATAAATTTTAAAATATACCATACTCAAATTTAATAGCATAATAGTCAAACTTTTATTATTATATTTTGAGTAGATAATATATCTATTTATCAATAAATTTATATTTTGTACATTTGAAATTTTAAAATTCTATTCTAATTTTTGTGTATCAAAGTAACTTTCATATTTTTTTAAGCTTATAGCTTTAAGATTTGAATAAATCTATATAAAAATCTTTAATAAGTTAAAAATTAAAGTAAAACGTATTCAAAATGAATGCAGAATTGACTATTTATATTTTATGATAATTAAATATATTAATTAAGGGAAAAACATCAACAATTAGTCTATTTTTAGGTTCATTTATCATGTCATCAATCCAAAAATGTGATTAATGAAATAATAGATGTGATGAGATATTATATTCTTGCACTTATTATAATTATCTATATAGATAATAGAAAAAAAAAATACAGACATTTTAGTCTTTAGCTTTTGTATTTTATTTTATAATCCAAGGTTGCAACCTACAGCTTGTGATTTAGATTTTTTTTTCATAATAAACTAGGATTTTTATAAAAAATCACGCGATGGATCATATGAGTAAAGAAAAAATTAAAAAATTGCAATCAATAAATGGTAAATAGATCAAGCCCGTGGGACCCAAAGGGTCAAAAGGCTAAAAAACACAAAAAATACAAAAAATAATATCTAGAATTTGATCAAACAAGAAGACTTATGTGAATTGTAGATGAGTTGGATAATATATAGTCAAAATACAATGAATCTGATTATTATCTACTTTAGAGCATAAAAATCAAAAGCAAAAAAAAAAAAAAACAAGTTTCTATAAAATGTCAAGAAACCAATTCTTCATCTTCAACAACTACAGAAATATTCACAAACAAGCTGTGAGTATTGTTATATCATGTTTATGATTTTCACATCTTTTAAATAAACTAATAGTTTAACATTAATCTATTTTATGAATAATTGTTATTGCAAAAACTTGTCAACCAAGTTGTATGTTTTTTTGAAATTGAGGAGCTTCAAAATAATAGATTTTAGTACTCAAAATTATGTTAATGGCTTTGATGATTTTGTGATTAAACTAATACTCTATAATCAAAAACTGATAATAATAAGAAGTTATTTTATCTTTTAAATTTATTATCTGCTTTCTATCAATTATTGTCAATTTTGTTATTCATTATAATAGTCAAACAATTATTTTGAGTGAAGCATTTGGAACAAAGTGCTTAGCCCATTAGTAAACAAAATAGTTAGTTGGAACTAAGTGTTTTGTATACTAATGAACTAAAAAATGATCATTTCATGATTTTCATCTAATACGCATCCACTTTCAAAAAAATTGTCATCAAAATCTGTCACTAAAAATAAACATAAAACATCGTGGCTTCTGTTAGAAAAAACCTTTACCGTAAGAAATTGCAACCTGACAAAAAATCCTCTGACACTGAGTCTGAACCGAACCGACTCTGATACCAATTGTTAACGTTAAAATTCAGATGCGACACCAGAGACACGAGTCACACAGACACCAGAGACAAGAGAGTATAACGTGGTTCACCCTCAAGGGCTACGTCCACGGAGAGAAGAGCACTAGAGAATTTACTGCTTGAATGCTTGAAGAAGTGATCACCCTTAGGGTATATATACCAGAGGTAGTCAACTACTCTAAGCTATAAATAGCTGCATATGCTGTTAACTTTAGTTAACTCCTTAAATAGAATTAACTTCAACAAAAGAGACATTTTGAGAAAAAAATTCAAAATCTTTATTTTTTTTTAGGATATATCATTTACTGATGATTAAAAATAAATTGCGTGGATATAATTTTACATCAAAAAAATCTGAGATGTGTACAACTTTTAAAAATTACAAAGTTATTGAGATTCAAACCAGACACAAAGTAAAACATCTACGTACATATAATAACAAAGATATATTTTTAATAGTGTGAAAATTATTGCAAAAAAAAAAAAACATTTGACATCTCATCACAATTTATATTTCATAACAAAATTGTATTTTTAAAATATTTAAACATATTGTGTTGAAAAAAACATGTGATATGTTAAGCCAATCAAACTGATCATAAAATTATCAAGTTAAAACTATTGATAATCAAATTGATCATACAACTATTAAATAAAAAATATTGATATTATCTTATATTTGAATAAATTTTATTTTTGTTATGTAGTACAATTTTGAACATTCTTTGAATTGAATCACAAAAAAAAGATTGATTAAAATCATTTTAAATTTTTATTTTTTCAAATCTAAGATGAATAAAGTTTAATATTATTTTGTACATTACAAAAT